AAAGGCTTGACATCCAAAATATATAAAGAGCTCATGCTCCTCAACAAACAAAAAGCAAATAATCCAATTAAAAAATGGGCAGAGTAGCTGAACAGACAGTTCTCCAAAGAAGAAATTCAGATGGCCAAGAGACACATGAAAAGATGCTCCACATCGCTAGTTATCAGAGAAATGCAAATTAAAACCAGAATGATATATTACCTCACACCAGTAAGGATGCCCACCATCCAAAAGACAAAACAGCAACAAATGTTGGCAAGGTTGTGGAGAAATGGGAACCCTCCTACACTACTGGTGGGAATGTAAATTAGTTCAACTATTATGGAAAGCAATATGGAGGTTCCTCAACATGCTCAAAATAGACTTACCATTTGACTCAGGAATTCCACTTCTAGGAATTTACCGTAAGGATGCAGCACTCCAGTTTGAAAAAGACAGATTTACCCTTATGTTTATCGCAGCACTATTTACAATAGCCAAGAAATGTAAGCAACCTAAGTCTCCATCAGTAGATGAATGGATAAAGAAGATGTGGTATATACACACAATGTAATATTATTCAGTCATAAGAAGAAAACAAATCCTACCATTTGCAACAACATGTATGGAGCTAGAAGGTATTATGCTCAGTGAAATAAGCCAAGCAGAGAAAGACAAATACCAAATGATTTCACTCATCTTTGGAGTATAAGAACAAAAGAAAAACTGAAGGAACAAAACAGCAGCAGAATCCCAGAACCCAAGAATGAACTAACAGTTACCAAAGGGAAAGAGACTGTGGAGAATGGGAGAGTAGGGAGGGATAAGGGTGCAGAAGAAGAAAGGGGGTATTATGATTAGCATGTATAATGTGGGGTGTGGGGGAAAAGGGAGGGCTTTGCAACACAGAGAAGACAAGTAGTGATTCTACAACATCTTACTATGCTGATGGACAGTGACTGTAATGGGGTTTGTAGGGGGAACTTGGGGTAGGGGAGAGCCTAGTAAACATAATGTTCTTCAAAAAAAAAAACTATTTGTAAATCAGATCATATAGTGTAGGACCTTTTGAAATTAGATTTTTTCACTCAGCATAATGTCCTTGAAATCCATCCAAGTTGTTCTGTTCACTGACAGCTCCTCCTCAGTAACATTCCATGGTATAGGTGTACCAATAGTTTGGCCTATTGAAGGACATTGTTGTCCTTACAAATAAAGCTGTTGTCAACATCCACGTACAAAAAAAAAAAAAAAAAGAAAAGAAAAGAAAAGAAATCCTCCCATGTGCAACATGGATGAATCTAGAGGGTATTATGTTCAGTGAAATAAGCCAGGTGGAGAAAGATAAATACCATATGATCTCATTTATTTGTGGATTGTAAAAACAAAGCAAAACAGAAAGAACAAAAGAACAATACAAGTTAATCATGGGGACAGTAGTACAACATGGAGAATACTGTTAATGATTCTGTCACATCTTACTATGTTGACAGATTGTGACCGCACTGGAGAGGGTGAATTTAACACTGTGGGTAACTGTTGAATCACTGTGTTGTATTAAAATTGTATATCAATGACACTTTAATAAATACAAATTAAATTTTTTTAAAGAGTCACTTGCATTACTTTAGTAATAGACTGCCTATGCTAGTTTTTCTGCAGGCTTGTTGGGCATTTAACTATTGACCTATTTTAAGAGCTCTATACAAGTTAGAGGTATTACCCCTAAAAAGAATATGGGTAACTGTTGAACCAATGTGTTTTACATTTGAAACTAATTGTATATAATGATCCTTCAATAAAAATAAGTTAAAAATAAACACACTGCCACTCATAAAAAAGAATAATAAGAATATTGATTTTCATCTAATTTTTGTTTTATCTTTATTTGTGATAGGCTTTAAAAATATCTCTGGAAAATTACGTAGTCAGATTTATCAACTTTTTTCCTAAAACCGTGACTTTTGCATTTTCCGGTCAAACTTAATGTGATAGGTTGTGCCTGATACTAAAAATTCATATAGACCCACTGGTGAACACGAATTAGAAAGTGGAATAATATATCTCTGTCAGTTCAAAGAACTGACCAATTCAAATAGCCACTCATAAATTCTGATTTCCCTCTTCCTTCTCCTGCTCTTCCCCTCCCAACCCTCTATTTTCCCCTTGAGTCCCCTACTTGTTCTTTCCCTCAATATGGGAATCCTAAGGATCAGAGTAGTGAAATGACTTGGTTTTTTAAGGGTGCTGTCTACACCTCTCCATTTTCACCAGCAGGGCAGAGTTCAAAGGAAAAAAATACCATCAACAGTATCAGACTGCATTATTGTTTATTGTATATTTAAAAGGTTTTTGGCACTGTATAAAAATATATAAAAGGTAATCAATTTTAAAAGATCATTATCATGTTTGACATTCTGCAAATGCAATTGACCAAAAGTCTGAAGTTCCAAGAAACCTTAGATAAATATATCATGGTTCAAAAAGACTGGGTGTCTGTACCTAAAACTTAGCTTGCACTAGGCCTTAGCAGAAGGAGTTAATATCTATGCATACCATAACCACTAACTTATGTCTTATAATATAATTAAAATACTGAATAAGAGTGATTTGAGTTTCAGGCCTTCTATTTTCTGTTAGGCAATTCTGTTTTTTATGTTTAGAATACATTAGTCTTTCTGTTACAAGGCCTTTTTCATAATGCAAATCACAGGGAGAAGTAGATAAAACTTTTGGCTAGCAAATGAAACAATAGCGAATATACTTTTAAAATCTTTTTTATTAGATGTAAATGAATTTTCCATTCCCTTTTCTTTTTTCCAAAATATGTGAAAGAATAGATTTCAGATTTTGTCCTCAGTTGCAAATAATTTTTGACACTTTGTGCATTTCTATGTTTTAAATACATATGGAATTAGCTTTTTCTCTGAATTTTAATTTACAGACAGTTTCAAAGATACTTGTAATTTTGTATGAATAATATAGAATTGATGATAACCAATTTATCCCACTGAAAAATAAGTAGACTTAGAAAATTGATATATAGACAGTTCCTGATTTACATGGTTTAACTTATGATTTTTCTGCTTTACCATGGTGAGAAAGCAATGTGCATTCAGTAGAAACTGTACTTCAAATTGTGAATGTGCTTTGCTAGTGATATGTGATATTGATTCTCTTCTGTTGCTGGGCAGCAGCACTGAGCCACATGATCATTAAACAACCCACACACTTACAACCATTCTCTACCTGTACAACTATTTTGTTTTTCACTTTCAGGGTAGTATTCAAAACATTACTTGAGATTTTCAACACTTTATTATAAAATAATATTTGTGTTGGATGATTTTGCCCTACTGTAAGCTAATGTAAGAGTTCAGAGCACATTTAAGCAGGATAGGCTATGATGTTTGGTATGTTAGACATACTGAATGCATTTTCAACTTATGGTATTTTCAGTTTATGATGGGTTTATTGGGATGTAACCTCATCATAAGTTGAGGAAAATCTGTGTATCCTTCTGGTACCACCAAATATCTAGAAAAAATTTTGAAATGAGTGGAAATGCATATGATATAATCTAAAAAATATTTTATTGAAACATAATAGTAGATAGGGAAAATTATAAATAACCAAATATGTAACAACCAAATTATATATAACCAAAATATTTAATGCACAAGGAAAACATAAGCTAACAAGTATACATTCATGAGGTGAAATCCATGTTGTAAAACAATGTTTTTTCTATGTCAATATATGGGAAAATGTTATGCCTACATTAAGTGAAGATACTAGAAACTCAATTTGCTTATACATTTTGATTGCAAAGTATAAAAATATCATATGTTCAATTGAAGAGAATCACAAGTTTAGTAAGATGAATAGCATTTTATGTAGGTTGGAATCTCAATTCTTCATAAATTATATAAAAGGATTAGTAAATATTTTCAAGAGAATTTGTACTTTATAATTATAAACAATGAAAAATTGGTTAAAATTATATTTAAATATTAAGCTAAGAACTGATTTTATTAAATTCTTATTGCATTTAGGACAAAAAAACTCATTCTATTACCCAATAGCCCATATCATTAGCAAAAATAACTGGTATGATTCTGTGATCCAGCGGAGGCTCCTCATTTGCATTGAGGGTTATGTTCCTTCTTGATGATCCATCCCTATGTTTTCCAAGAAGTCACATGATGGTTTCTCAACTTGCGCATGGCTGATTTAACATCTTCACTTCTTAGAGAGTAGATGATGGGGTTTAACAGGGGTGTACAAACAGTGTAGAACACGGAAAGAAACTTATCCACAGAAAGTCTGCTGAAAGGCCATATGTAGAAATAAATGCAAGGCCCAAAGAAGAGAATCACCACTGTGATGTGGGCAGTTAATGTAGAAAGTGCTTTGGATGACCCACTGGAGGACCGGCGCTGGACAGTGATCAAAATGATGGTGTAGGAAATAATTAAGGCCAGAAAACAGCTCAGTGATATCAGGCCACTGTTAGTTAGGGTCATGATTTCCATTTCATAAATATCCACACAAGCCAGCTCTATCACCAGGGGAAGGTCACAAAAGAAACTGTCTACCTCATTGGGGCCACAGAATGGCAGATCCACTGTAAAAGCCAAGTGGCTCACAGAATGAAGAATACCTACAGCCCAGGAAATAAACACAAAAATTAAACATAGTCTCTGATTCATAATTGTGGTATAGTGTAGGGGCTTACAGATGGCTATAAATCTGTCATATGCCATAGCTACAAGTAGAATCATCTCACTACCAACAAAACTATGAAGAAGGAATATCTGGACCATGCAACCCTCAAAGGAAATAGTCTTGTGCTCAACAAAAAAGTCCACAAGCATCTTGGGGGTGGCAAAGTTAGACTGGCAGATATCAATGAAAGAAAGGTTACTGAGAAGGAAGTACATAGGAGATTTCAAATGGGAGTCTGAGGAAATGATAACAATAATCATGATGTTGCCAAGCACTGCTGTCACATACACTATAGAGAAGATGACAAAGAAGAAAAGCTGAAGTTCCCAAGAATTAGAGAGCCCTAAAAGCACAAACTCAGACACCACTGATTCGTTTGTGTGAGCCATGTGTCCAATCTGCTGTTACCTAAGTAAAAGAAAATCAGGAAAGTATCACAGTTATTGGTGGAACAGGTAGTATATATACAAAAATATGATAAGCTTTCAATTAAAATTCAATTTAATGAAACTATGTAAATAATCAATTGGCTGATATATAATACCTGTAATGCTATGGAAAATGGGAGAAGTGTGAAAAAAGAGGATTAGATATGGATCCTATCATAATTAGGAAGATAAGGAACATGTTAGAAAATAAAGAATATTAAATCAGAAGCAAGCATATATAAATGATACATTAATACTATAAATACTAGTAAGATGAAATAAATTAAGCAGAAATGGTAGGGTAATTTGTCATGGAATAGGTAATATTTAAGCTAAAACTTTTGAAAAGTTTGGGATTTGCTAGCTAAAACTGAAGGAAAAAGATTATTTCAACCAGAGGGAAAAACAGGAATAAAGATACAAAGGTAAAAATATGAGATATTCAGGGAGCCGTGAGTTGAGTAGCATGGCTGGTGGAAGCATGCTAAGGAGCAATATAAATGAGACTGGGAATGGTAGATATGGAGCATATTGTGGATACAATTAGTCTGGCATTCAGACCTAAGTGAACTGGATTAACGTTCTTAACATTGGAATTAAAATGCTTGACAGTGTTTTAAGAAGCTTAATAGAAGCAATTTGTTACATTATGGAAAGAAAAAGCGATGGCTATTGGAAAATATCTGTGAAGATCAAGAACATTTCTTTCATCCAGAGGTTAACCAGAGTTCATTTTCTGTCACATAAGGTCCAATTATGCGTGAGCCACAAATGTGTTTTCACTCTCTTCTGACTCTGCCTTTTGTGTCTTCCTAAACACACCAGATAAATGGATTTATGAAAATCTGTAACAATATCCTTTTGTAAATACTACCTAGAATTGTATATAGTGCATCTGAACACAAAATAGATTTTTAAAAGAGAAAAGTAGTGTGTAAATTGCCTCTTGAACGTTTTTGACATTTTGCATAATGTATTGGGCACCATGTGGCCACTCTATCCCAGAATACAATCCTACTTAAGCTCCAGTGGTTCAGGACATGTATTTGGCTTTAGTCCTATGTACCCAGCAATACACAGTAGGTATTTATTTGTCATTACACTGAAGATCTGCATCCCATATCCTTCACTGGTAGATACAACTAATATAATAAATATTTAAAACTTTAAAAGCAAAATTGTGCAGGTAACCATAAATTGAACAAAAAAAATTACTTAAATATTACAAACTTCCATTATGTAAACTTAACCTGATCCTTGAAACAATAACTCCTACCCTTTCAGGGGCTTCTATATTTACATTTGAGTTGTGATACTGAGTTTTAAGAATACAGAAACTTAAGTTACTCAAGAATATAAGCAGATCAGTGAAGCATGAACTGACTTCAGTGTAAACTTCCATCATAAGATTCTCATCTCCATGTGGAAGACTTGGGCCAGTGCTGGCATGAATATCTTATCATTCATTTACATGGGCTGGGGAAAAAGGAGGCAAAAATATTGGAAAGGAAGGAGATTCCCATTGCTAAGACTAAAAAATATTCTGAAGAGTTACGGTTATTAATTTTAAAAAGACAAAATTGATGCCTTGAGAGACTTCTTACATTCTTACAGTATTTAATCCATGTGTAAAGCCTGGAAGAGGAGAATGAGAAAGGGAAGAGAAGAAAATAGAGGAGGAGGAGGAGGAGGAAGAGAGGGAAAATAATGCTTAATTGTTAAAACATGTTACATAAGGTTGGTGGTACTAATATAATTTTTAAACATCATCTTATCTATGAAAAAAAGATTTTCTGAAAATATCCTAATTTCCTACCAATTCCATCTTTCCAATATCTAATAAATTATAAGGTTTGTCAGTCTTCATTTTTCAAAATACAGGAAACAACTAGAAAATCCTCTCCACACTAATTTCCTCTGATTTCTTAATCCAAGTAGAATAGACCAAGTTCGATGTTATATCTCATTTTATTCTTAACAATTAAAGTAGGTACCCATTAGTAGAGATAAATAACATATTTCACTTAGTAACTTTGTGACTGATTTATAATATAGAACAAAATTATTGCCAAAGCTATTTTCATCTCTACAATTCTAAGTGTGGAGGCACTTATGTCATGGAAACTCAGAGTTTATAGAAGTCATCCAGAATTTCTTGAACTATGCACAGAGCACCCAGAACCTTCTTCATTAATGAATCATTTGCTTTTTCATCACCAGTGTACTTTAGAGATCAGAAATTAGAAATGTTTCCAGATCAAAAAATACACCATCAGAGAATGTCCCCATTCTTAGTGTAAGAACAAGTTGGATACATAGAAACTGATATTACATTAATACCCATCTTTAAATTATGTCAATAGAACTTCAAAACCATAAACATTCATAGTTTTTATTTTCATCAGTTTGTCTTATAATAGTTGACTACCTATAAGCCTAGCAGCAAAAGCAATAAAGGGTACTCTTATTGACCATTACTTTATGTTGTGTAGCTCCTCCTTTTTCATTCCAGGCAAATTTTGATAGTCAAAAGCTATTTGTTTAATAAATGACTAAGTATTCTCTAAATAGAAAGCATAAAAGGGGCAGAGACAAATAATGTCTATAGCCTACTTCCCTCTGTTTATCAGACACCGATCCTATTATTATCAGGACTAAGCCAATGCAGTGGGAGTCATGTCAACAGAGGTGGAAACAGGTACTTGCCTCTTCCAGATGGATTTTCCAATTTAACTGAGACAATAACCTCCCTTTTGCTATCTTCTAGTTGTTGATTTTGCATCTAGAAGACAGTTTACAAATTGTTTGTCTAGTTCAAACAATGTGTTCAATACATGTATAATACTTACACTTTTAATAATTTCTCCCAATTTTGTCAGTTCTTCCTTTTCTTCAAATTTGGGGTTCTACAGTATTTTTTTACGCTTCCCACTTTCTGGTATGAATCTTCATACTGAAAATATTTGCAATATACTCTTGACTTGATGCATTTAACTTGTCCTAAGCTAAGCAGAAGCAAGACCCTCAGATTCTGCTCTGAAGTAGTGAGCGTTCTTGGCCTCGACCATACAATTACAATATCCGAAGCTAAGGCAATATAAAGCCTCTGCCCTCATTCCAAGAAACTGATTTCACTTAGGGAAGTGAGAAATCACTCTTCAGAGATTTGATGTCACCCTGAAATGGGAGTAATTATGTTTTATGAAATTATCTTGTCAGGAATGGAAAAGAAAAGAAAAAAATTTTTTACCAACTAGTTGGTACATATGGAAGCAAAAGATTATTTGACTTTTACTGACTCCTAGTCAGCAAAATAATTTTTTGGCCACTAACTTTTGGTCAATAAAATAATCCCACAATTTTACAAATGATCACCTAGCCTCAGTGTGGTTTCCTCCAATTACAAGGAGCCCACCACTTTGCAAGAGAGTTTTATCTATTGTTAGAGTGCTCAACTGGTTCTACTTCTGTGGTTTAATAGAACAAATCTATTTCTAATTCAATGGTCCTTCAAATATTTGAAAGTGTTCTCATTTCTTCTCCATGACAAAGCTTCTATTTCTCCCCAACAGTATGTCAATAGTCTTCTTAACCATATTTTATTATGTTTTCTAGATTTCCAAAAGTTATGATGTAGATTTAGATGTAAATTTCAAATGCTTTAGAGAAGGAAATTTGAAAATAAGATTCCCTATCACTAAGCATGTGGTGTGTGTGTGTGTGTACCCCCTAGTAAAATGTTCACATACCTAAAGATGCATGAACAATGGCCTATATTGCAGCATTGATTGAAAGAGATAGATGATCATGGGGAAAAAACCTAAGTATCTATAAATCTCACAGTGAAAAAATATATTTTAGTGTTGTGGAATATGTTCAATGATTAAAATTACTATATTATTTTCATATATGTATAAGATTATAAAACATAATGTTAAGAGAAAAAGTTGAAGATTGGTAAAATTATTATGAGCATAGTTTTATAAGCCCAAAACAAAAATGACACAAGAAAGAAAAGTTTGAAAACATCTAGAGGAATATTACTAATTCTAAACAGTGTGAGAAGAAAATAAAAGGGTAGGGGTCAAGTTTTATGTACAAACTATTAAACTGAATAATATCACAAATATTTCTAAAAGTCCAATATGGCCAAATATATTTACTATATACATAATGTTAAATTTAGGAAGTATTCTTTAAAAATTTTATTCTTTATGCTTTCATATCTTGAATATTTGGCATTAAAAGTGATCTTCAAAAAATTAGAAAAATATATTTTAACCAGAAAAACTTTGTAAAAGTACAAAGAAAATATAGTGAAGAGCAGGTTTCATTCACAACAGAAACAAACAAAAAAATACATACAAAAGTATCTGGAAAAATCTATCATAAACATACAGGTCTTATGAAAATTTTAAAACATTGAAAAAGAAATGAAAAATATTGGGAAGAATATATCTTTTATCGATAAGAGAGACTCAGTTTTGCCAAAAAAGTTTGTTTAATATAGCTAAATGAAATTTAAATATAAGTATACTGTAGCTTCTATCAGAAATAGAATTATTTATAGAACTTTTTTTGACAAAATTATATTTTTGGTATATATCTATCTATAGCTCTGTTGATAGTCATTTGGTAACTGTGGGGAGGTGGGCTGAGCCTCCTTTGCTGAATCAAAGGCACTTGAAGCTCTTTAATTCTGGAAGGGAGTGTGGGCGTGTATGGACAGTGGGATGGTGCTCCTCAGGACTTGAATCTTAAGGGAAATATGGAATGACAAAGGTACAATTGACGAACTATTACAGTAAAACATAATGCTGGATTTCAGCAGCAATGTTTCAAAGATGATCCAGTGTCAGTCCTAACAGTTGTTTTTATCAGACAAACATGATCTTGGCTGTGTTTTGTGCTGCTTAGATTCTAATAGTTTCTGCTAATTTTCTGAGGCTGCTTCTCCAAAT